ATGGTGCTGCTCCAGGTACCTGCAACAGAACAAATATGACAGCCTCATATTTTCCCCTCAGCTTCCAGTAGCACTTTCACAGACACTCACTTCTGGTTAGAGTGCAGCAGCTCATATATCTTCTCATTCTGTAGATCTATCTTCCCTCGCTTCTCCACCAGCTCTGCCCGTAGCTGCTCATTCTCACTGACAAGCTTCTGAATGCTTAGCAACAGAGTTGATGGCTCCATAAGGCCACTCATAGTTGGCAACGAGTGCCGCATGCCCTCCAGCTGCGGACATCAACAGGTGCTTATAAATCTGCACTTAGTGTATGTGCGTGCATGCGCACGTGTAAATTTAAATATGTGCAACCAAAATATTTATAACAGAAACTACATTCACACTGTCACTGTCAGCCCATTACAATATTAACATCATTCTGAGTCTGAAGTTTGTATACTTCAGCCATGAGCATTTTGAATTAAGGTTTTAGAGTAACTATGTGGTACTTGGTCAAAAAATTCCATCCAGTTTTGGAATCCAAAAATTCATCAAGAGCTAATCACTGGACCCTAGTCCAAGCCACTTCAGCACCTCACCATCCGATTTCCTAAGGTCTACCTTCCTTCAATCTATGATCCAGTCACCTACAGTGGTCTCTCACATGAGGTTTTAAAATAAAAATGTTTCACACATTTCTCCCCTTGCAAGTGTGCTGTGTGTCCTGTTCATTGTTTTTGATTTAATTATCCTGACAATGGTATGTACAGTGAACTTTGTAATGCTCCTTATTATGTAATTTTCTCTCTTTAATTTGAGGATTCTCCACAAAAGTTTCTTCTCAAACACCCACTATATTTGTTCTTCCTACAACAGACCTACTCGGTCAAAAACACGACCAGTGCAACGCTGGCTGGAACAGGTATGCAGCAAATCATCAGCTCCGTAACGCAGAGGTATAACCGAGACTGAAAGACAAGATGTTCCGTCTCCCATGCATATCCTAAGCTACAAACTTTGAAACATGAGAGATCTCTGTATTCAAAAGCCAGCAACGTTGGTGCTGACCTTCATCAACACCTGATCCACCTTGTCTGCCACCTTGGACATTCCCATGCGGACCTCAGAGTTGTGGGTTCGTGTTTCAGCTACGAACACTGACAGGTGGGAGTCAGGCGAGGAAATGGCTGGTGGTGTGTTTACAGCAGTAGGGGGCATGGGGAACACCTGTTGGGAACCAACTGCTTGCTGGGCCACCAGCGGGTAGAGCTGACCCTGTGACTGTATATATGTCACTGAACCATCTGCTCTCTGCAACAATAACAAGACAGTGACAGAACATACGTGTGTGTGTAGGATTGTGTATATAAAATATAAGCCAAAAGTGTCCTATATTTACCAGAACTGAACATGGAAGGACAGGACAAGGAAAGGAAGACGTGAACTGCCTCAGGATAGGCACTTAGTTACAGAGCACCAAAACTTAAATTTCATGAAAATGCATCTGACAAGCGTAGAGCAATGAATGAGACGCATTTTAAAGTGTACCATGAACTGGTGTGGCTGCAGAGAGACAGGAGTGGGCTGGTACACGGCCAATTGCTGAGGCAACATCCCACCTGACATCATTACATTCTGAGCAGATGATGCAGGCTGTGACTTTGACTGGCGCATCTTGATGGGTGCCTTGCTGACCACAGATGGAGCAGTATCTCCAGGGCCACTCAGCTCCTCCTGTAAGATCATCATTCGTGCAAATCAGACACGAGCGGTCGCTTCCACAGGCACTCAGACTACTCACGTTTCTTTCACTCAATGCACTGACTCCAGGAATAAACTTGCATGGAAGCACATCAATACTGCAGAATAGTATTCATAATAATCTTAAGGAAACAGAAACAGTCATATGCAACGTCAGTATATAAAAGAGGTGATAAAACAGATGAGCAAAATGGATGTAGAGCTGAATGATCACTCTAGATAATGTAGTCTGCGTGAAACAAATAAAGCAAAAGTGCAGAAAGAAACCCACATGACCTTCGTAGGCTTCGACAGTGTCCCAGAGAAAAGTTACAGTAAGCAATAAGATACATGAAAATGAAAAATGAAGAAAACATGTACAATACAAAAGCTCAACTTAAAATTATAAATTATTAACAGGAAAAAATATGAACACTATCATTTAATATTTATTTGTGAGTAAAATAGGCTTCAAATTAATAGTACAGGAAATGCTGTGATTCCTCACTGTTGCAGGTGATTAAACATTACTTGTACAAGGTAAAGAGGATAAAGAAATATATAATGAGGAAATAATAGGAAAACTGAGAGAGAAATATAAAAAAAGTCTTAACAACAACTTCAATTAAGCAGAATACTTGTGTGTGGAAAATGCAGACACAGGAGGACTCATTGAAAAGTGTGACACTTTTAGAGAACTGTGAGAACTTGCCTCTGTCTCTTCAGAGTCACTGGGGTTATACACAATGGCCCCCTTCAGGGGTAGAGTCGCTTGTCCCATCCTTGCCATGCGGGAGATGATGCTTGCTTTGTTAGTCTTTGGGCTGTTAGTAAGAGCTTCTGATATGGATGTCCCGCGGGCCTTTATACTTGTATCATCGTTGCTGCAATAAACAAAATAACTATACTTACATGGGCCAGAACATGTTTCTAGATGGTGATAATGGCTTGGATAGGTAGCTCAGGCGGGGGAGAAAAGAAATGTGTACAGAATTTTCATGAAAAAACCCATGGAACACGGAAAAGAAAGAGGTGACAAGATAACATTAAAACTAATTTAAATGAACTGTCTCAGAGTATGAGCAATTATGGGTTTCATTGTCACTGATGTTGAACTCCTAGATTCTGTTATCAGAGAGTCAGTCAGCTGGTTGGTTGTTTTAAGACCATGATTTCCATTGTATGTACCTGGAGTCTAAAGCACTCTCCCCACTGTCAGTGAGGGACGGCATGTTCCCAGACTTGATACGTCCCACATCTACCTCCAGCACGATGCTAGCAT